AATAATGTTATATATTGAGAGGACATATGACTTAATAATGAAGTGCCCATAGCTGCCTGGTTGTTTTTAAATTAATTATAGGATTAGAATTTAATATTTTAAATACAGCTAAATATTGTTTCTAGAGAAGCAACATTAATGTTTACAACTGCAAAGTCACTGTATAGTCAATTTGATATCAGAATACTGAGTGACGTTTAGAAAATCAGTCTGTATCAGTCCCTCCTCTTCCTCTCTGCTAATTAATCACTGCCTGCAGGTAACGTTACCTGATGGAAGGAGGAGCAGGTGATTGTCTCAGAAGCTTAGTATTTAACAATTTTTAAGACTACAGACCAGTCTATGCTCCAGACAGACAGCTTTCTATTAGCTTGATTTTAACATTTGGCTAATTGCCTACACAACGTTAGCTGTGCTTGTACAGGACACAGGATGAGAGACTGAGGACAGAGCATGAACTCTTTCTACATGTTTACCTTACAGACAGGTGTAGTGATAACGTATTGTCTTTTTACTCAAAGGTTTTATTGCACATAACGAGCGCCGCTGTCGGCAACTCGAGGAGTTCTGAGCTAGCTTAATTTCACCACAGCGATGGAGCGTCGTTTGCGTCTCTCTTTGCAGGGCGCTGTGTGTGTGCGCGCGCCAGAGAGCAGCAGTCCAATGATAAACAGTCTCTGTTTAATACCGCGTTTCGGTACGATCAATAAATAAACATTCACTTTCTTGTCCATTGTGTTGTACACATAATGCATTAACATGACAAATTGTTGAGTAAAGACTGCACATGTGGACACGTCTTAGTATGCAAACAGCCATCGTAGTATTAAAAAAAATGTCTGTGTCTACCGTCAGTCCTGCAGTATCAGGGCATTAACAAACCAAACAGAACTACTGCTGACAAAGTGACCAACTGATGCATCACTTCACACTTTGTACACGCCATTATCACTACAACTGACAGGCAGCCCATGTCTTCACCAGCTGCCTAAACTGGCTAATAAAATTGGTGCCAAGAATGAAATATAGGGCTTGTTTTAAAAAAAAAAAAAATAAAAATATGTGGAATCTTTACATTTTAAGTCAAAGTTTTACAGCCCACCAACAGCAAAAATCCAGTGCCAAAGCCCTACAAAGATATGTAGGCAGAACAAGTGGACTTCATCTGAAAACTGTCAGTTTCTGTCTTCCCCTTTAAGACACAGCATGCTGCTATTGAGGTTGGAAATTCAGAATCCGAAATAGTTTACACTTTATTGATCCGAGTATCTTTATTGAAAGCCGAGAATTCTAGTATCATCTAATGCTACGTTGAGTACATAGCCTTGTGCATTTCGTGAATACATGGTGAACATGACCACTGTCCAGAGTTAATAGCTCAATGCAGAATAATGCAGAGCTTGAGTGTACCAGTATAGAAACATGTGGGTGGAAGCTTCTTCCAGGAGGAGAGCTTCACACCACATTCTCCTCAGATGTGAAAGATTAACAGCCCCAGTAACTTGTACGGTACATCCCTCTCGCCCCTCTCTCTCTCCCTCTCTCCACCTCTCTCCGCAGGGAGGAAGATTCATCATCTGCCTGAAGAGCTGGGTGAGAACCCAATATTCAGCACACATCACTCACCCAGCAGCGACAGGCAACACTGGCTGACATGTGCAGTAACCTATTCTGCTATAGTCATGCACAACATGCCTAAAGGAGAGGCAATGAGTAGGATTTGCCTCAAATGGATATGCAAAATATAGAAACTATTAGGGATGCACGGATTGTTCAGCCTCCGAAATCAATCTGCCAAAAATAGCACAAAAAGTACTTTCGCTGTTGGGCCTAATACATGGACACATGTACTTTACTTTACCAGACCCTCTTGGGACTCGGACCAACCCACTATAGTCTCTCCAGATCCTGAGGGAAACACTGAGTAAATGCACATTCTGACAATTTAATTTATGCAATGGTAAAAAAAAAAAAAAAGGCAAAATAAATGGAAAAAATATGTGGATGTACTTGTTCGGTATTCTACAGATTCTTTTATTATATTCGGTTTTGGCTTCAGCCAGGAATTTTCATTTTGGTGCATTCCTAGAAACTACAAGCTGAAAACGGCCTCACGTCCCATCTAATCAATACTGACAGCCAGTGGCAATGTGCAACAATCACACATACTGGTGACAGGGTGGGCAGCTAGAGCTTAGCACAGCCTTCCAGTAGGAAAAGAAACAAAATGACCCCCCGGATAGCAGCCGGCACTCACAACTGAACTTCATGGGAAATGTTGCTACTTTGCATGCAGTTCCTGCTTTTCAATCAGCCTTATCAGGACAGTGCAATGAAACAATTTAATTTGTTTTGTTTCTCCCTACACAACAGTGACAAAAGCAATAGTCAAAACCATGAAGTATCTACCGCAGTTACCAGGTGCAGCTAAGCAATTATTCTGAACCAGTGAACCTCATCCCAAATCATTTAAAATGGCCTTCAATAGCAACTACACACGAGTGGCAGCGATGTAAAAGAGCAAATCAATTTAGTGCAAGCCACTTAAGTGATTAGATTCTATTACACAGTGCAAACACAAGGGCTCTGCTGGCCTTTTAAAATGACCTGCTGTCCCGTAAAGACCACGTGTGGCTATGCTCAGTGCATGATTGCTTTTAATGGGATTTTACAACATTAACATTCTACTGAGTCAGCCCCTCTGTGGAAACTGTCCCATCTGACAGTGTGTCTGTATTACTGTGCGTGTTTGTGAGTGAAGGATGGTGGGGAATGAGTACAATTACGGAAATACGTGCATGACATGATGTCGATATTAAATGCTCTGCCCGGTCAAAGAAGGGATTCCTCCAGAAAACAAGCTGCAGCTACAAATCTTCACCTACTACAATCTAAAGTTTTGTAGACAGAGACCCAACAATGTGGTGCTCTGTAAGATCTGCAAATTGGAAATGACTTATCACAGCAGTTGTACTGCTGTGCACCAACACTTGAAGCAAAATCATCCCAGAGCACTTTGCCACGACAGCATCTTTTCAAAGCCAACCCACCTCCACGGGAGTGACGTCTAGCAATTCAATCTCACAACGTGGATTGCGAGGCTGGTGGTGTTTTTTCTCCTGGCGCTGTTTGTTCACTCATTTTGTACTTCAGTCATGAATTTTTCAGCAGCTGTTGCTCAACTCTAGCAACTACGCAAACAAGGTGTTAAATCAAGATATTATCGTAACCTATACATATCACACACCTCTACTCCAGTGATGAAATAAATCCAATTCATAATAATTTTATGTCATGTACTAGTAAAAATACTGATTCTGCAGTTCATAAAAAGGGTTGACATAAAGCGATTAAATTAATGTCAGTGATCCAATATTTATCTGATTTTTCTGATTTCTGTTTATTATTATTAAAATACGCTACTATTCTCATTATTCAAATTAGCTTATTGTGTCTTTTTCAGGATGATGATTGAAGAGAATATTAATATATTAATGAGACAAGTTTTAGAAGACTGTTGCTGTAAATGGCAGTGTCTGTTCTTAACATTTTCTTTCTATGGTTGCCTCCGACTTGTTACCAAATACATAGACACTTGCTGTCTAAGACTTTTTTGAAGTTTTTTGAAGCCAAGAATTACCAATTTGCTTCCTGGTAGACTCTGGGTGAACTCAATATGATGTATAATGCCTCTGTTGACCTCTGAATACTGCTGGACCTGGGCACATTTGCCACCCACCCATGAGGAAACAGGGAGGGTCAACTGAGGTCACAATGGTCCTCGGTCAAACCCCAGATGGTGGGAAATAAGAGTGCATGGGTCAATAGTTCTATGCTGGGAGTGTATGACCTGGCTTTCAACAGCATAAGGACACTAATTAACAGTCAAAGCATTTGTCACACTGACTAAGATGAAGTTGTCCTAGAGAAACTGCTTACATGTTATACGAGTTTGATTTGTGTTTATTGCACCAACCACCACAACAGTGAGCTACCACATCAGCCAGCTATGTTCTCCATCTCACCATCTGCTGTGGCCCACCCACACAAATCTCTCATAACACTTGATCTGGACAGTAGCCCGCCAATGCCCAGGAGGGCAAAGCAGATGGTGTGGTTACAGGCAAATCATTTAGCCTTTGAATAGCAGGCAAACTTCAAATCGGATGGGCACTGAAAGAAGTCAAATAGTCTACTTTCTCTTGCTTGTAGGGCATTAGGCTGCCTTGTTTGCTCGCTTGGTAGCCTATATGGTAAACCTTTGCTTAGTCAAAGCAAAGCTTGGGGGGGGGAGAAAATGCTCCTGCTTAAATTAAAACGCCACAAAATATACTTAAAATGCTAGCAACATAACCATGTAAGACTCTTCTGTGTTCCTTTAAGGCAGCTAAATGGTTTGCAACAGCAGACGTTGACTCATGTGAACTGCCCTCACTTGAATGGAGAACTCAGCGGGTCAATACACGTTGTACCAGAGAAAAAATGAATACATTTAATGTGTCACTATTAGTGTCCCCTTGATGTTTCAGGGCGTGAATGACTTCCTAACAAGCAACTTGACGCAGAAAGGCTACATAAAATTTTAGTGACTCATGCTTATTGCTGCAGCACCAGTCTAGCTGTTAGTTTAATGCGTGACAAAACAATTCAAAAAGTCAAACATTTATATAAATAAAATAAGCGAATAACTTGAATAGTTTTATACCAAATGTTTGAAGATATATAACGTTTAACGGTACTTCCCCTTGGTGCGTTTGTTTATCAAGGAGCAATAGGCACTAAAATACCGTAATATTTAATCGAGTTTGGAAAAGGCTCTGTTCTCCTGGCCGGGTGCGAAGGGAGTTTGTCGTTGCCTCAAAAAACACAGGAGGAAAGTTTGGGACAAGAGATTTCTGCCTCTCGCAATGTAAAGCTACCTCATAACACAGTCACGATGCTCTTGCAGTTGCTTTCGGCACTGCGTTTCAGTCTTGCGAAAGACAAAAATTGAGACTTACCGCGAGTTACCTTCCAACCAGTGTATCCAAGGTAAAAAGGTATCGAGAAAGGCGACCCCGACAAAGCTCTCACGACGCCAAGTTTCCTCTTTCTTCAGCAAAACAAGCCAGTCGGACGTCAGGCGCAGATGGGCATTTAATAGTCAAGGGAAAGTGTTTAAAGTAAAGCTAAAAGTGCCTCTACGAAGTCGACATTTGTCCGTGTTGCCGAAGTGAAAGAACGTTTTCCACGCAACGGGCGGCTTTCTTTGTTCCTCCTGCCTGCAGCTTGTTCCGTGGATATTATCGCCGTTCGTGTGTCCCTGACAGCCGCTGATTGGCTGGAGGGTCGGGATCAAGGAAAGGTGACTGGTGTCAAGCTAGCCAGAATGACTACACGTTTCCCGATCACGACGTCCATAAAGAAATAGTTTTGTGAAAAATTTCTTTTTTTGTCTTCAGTGTATGTATGTATGACGTTGCATTATAGTTTATTTAGCGACGGCATAGAGTGTGTTCGTGTGTTTTATGTTGCTGTAAGGTATTTTTCCTAAACGTGTTTGATTCTATGCTTTTATTTTGTAAGTATCGCCATTCAACTTCCTGTTAAATTGTACCTCTTAAGACACTTGACGCAGGGTGGAGGGCACTTCATGCCTTTCAGAGTTTTATTCGGAGCACAATCACGGTGTGCCTGCTGCTTTTGTAGTTTATTCACAGGGGCTTGAAGCATAACCCTATTAGGTTAAAATTCGGATAACAATTACACGATGCCTACATTTGTCTTCTTTTACTGTCCTTGATTAATATGCATAGCTACTTCATATTCAATAGACGAGTAGCCTACCTTTATGCAGTCACCGAGTGGGAGCAGCTGGGTTTATGGATTAAGGACAAACGAATAGGTTGGCTTATTTGCATCTAATGTCACTTACCGCAAAAACATCTCAACCAGCTCATGACTTTGTTTGGACTCAAGTGTGGTTGGTTTCACTGTCTTACCTACAGTAGTCGTTCCTACAGTATAATGTAAACAGTTGTGTGGATCTAACAGAATTTTGCTCTGGTGATCAGCTAGTATTTTAAGATTCCCTATATTAATTCCCTTGCCTTTGTCCCAGTCCAATTACAAGACGCATCTATTTTGTATCTCACCTTCAGCATCAACAGCATATTTAAACATGAGCAAGCAGGCTAGGTCAGTTTTATCGCCCTGGATGAAATTAGGCTCATTGTGAAAACTAGACCATTGACTCCCCGAGCAGCTGGCCTCGAATCAATTCCAAAGAGACCCAGAGAATTGAAGTTGATGGGTTTAACACAGCAGAGATCACTTGCCTGTCAGTGTAAAACACAGTTGATTTTCGCTCCTCCGCAGTGAGTCATCAGGGGAATAGTTCAACATTTTGATTCAATCTTGATTCATTCCCCTCTTTCCCAAGGTTAGATGAGTAGATCAATAGCACTCTTGTGTCTTGAAGCTGAAGCCAAGAGATGGTTAGCTTAATTATATTATATATTATGACATACTTATTTTTTTGTTATCTATAAAAAAAATAGGCTATTAAAGGGGGGGTGTTATGTGTCAGACAGGAAGTCACCGCTCCCAGCCAAGAAGTCCAACATATAACGCCGCCAAAACAACACTTCAGTTTTTGTACTAGATGATGTGTATAATTAGATTTTTCCTGCTGTTTCCAGTCTTTATGCTAAGCTAAGGCAACAGTCTCCTGGCTCCAGGTACAGATGTGAGAGTATTTGTAGTATATTAACAAATGCCTTTAAATCAATCAATCTAGCTATCTATCTATCTAGCGGTCACCACAGACAGTTAAATGTAGGAGCTCCCATGTTGTGTGTGTGTGTGTGTGTGTGTTTGTGCATGCATGCAGTGGATTTATGTTTTTGCATCCCTGTACGGCGTCCTTGAGTGCCAAGAAAGGCGCCTTAAATAAAATGTATTATTATTATTTTATTATTATTATTTGGTGTTGTGTAAGAGCAAGCTTTGTGCATAATACATTGTTTGCAAATGAGACTGTGAGAGCGTGAGTTAGGATGCGTGTGTCTGCCTGTCTGCCTACTTTCAGTGCTGACTTCAGAGAACGCTGCCATGGTTGTTCTCACCAGCCCGCGCACTGAATCCTCCCCAAGTCCTCCGACTGACACTTTGCATCAGATGTTTTCCTTCTCTGCCTTTCATTATGTTGTTTGCCTCACTTCTCCCTGCATTTACCCTTGTCCCCCCCTCAACTTCTCTTTCTGTTTCCATTTCCCTGGCTGTCTGTGGATATCCAATTCTCATGTGTCATGTCTTCCTCCTGTGGGTCTTTCTCTCCCCAGACTAGATGTGGAGACGGTCATAATTGGATGGTGTACTGACAGTCCAACAATGTCACTGAATCACCATGAGGATTTCTGCTTGTTAGAAAATAAAGGGGAGTACTTTGTCTTGACTTGGCTGAACTTCCCCTCACTTTGCCTCCCAAGTGTAGGTGATTTGTGTATGTCTGTCCATGAATTCACCCCAGCCAGTGTGCTTCTCACAGCTGACCACAGTGGGCGGAGGGTTCAAACAAAGCCAAAGTTAAGTGTGCTCATGTATTTTGTGGATGTATTAGAATTCAAATTTTACTCACCAGACTGACTTACAAATGTTCATACTTTCTGGCTGATAACAGTTGCATCAGCCTCAGCTGTTCTTTGTGTTGTATGCTAATTAGCAAATGTTAGCACCCTGAACTGAGCATTGTCACTGTTAGCATGGCGACGTTAACAAGCTCAAAGCATTGCTGTGCCTATATGAGAAATTCATGCAAGATGGGCAGGACTGGAAGAACAAGAAAACCTCCTGTTTTTCTGTTTTGTCAGCGCTCATGGTTTGTTTCAATGACTGGACAAATAGCCTGAATTAGCTTTTTTGTTGCGTTACGGTACGTTGTTGTGGTTCGTTAACAAGGGTAGGTAGATACAAACAGTGTATAGTCCCTTTTACATTAGTTGAATTGATTGAAGTAGTGTTATGATTGGATTTAATTTAACTGCCAGCAATAGGGGTGTTGCAGCCATGTTGCCAACACTCTTTTGACACTTGACATTGTAGTTCTTTTTGACTAGTTGGAAATGTTGTAGCTGACAGAAATCCCTGAAATATCCAACTTGGAATTACAATTGCAATTACAAATCGAAGGCTAAAGTGAATGGTTTTTCAACTTATCATAATTATGACGTGAATGCAGCGTATGTACAAGCTAACAGAGCCGCTAGCTTGGACTCTTACTACACTCTTTCTGGTGAATGAGAACAAGAGTAGATGCTTGGTCTGTCCCCGTGGTCACAGAGCAACCATGTTAAATACAAGTTAAGCGCTTGGAGAAGAAACAGAAATAGAGTTAGGGAGGCAGATTGAATGCCATTTCTTTTCATTCCAATTTGGTGTGCACGATGCCTTGTGCATGTCTGCGTCATGCTGTAGTCGATAGTGGGAGCCATGGCAGACATCTGACGCATTACGCTCTGTGTGTTAGGTTATATTTTTCTTTGTTTCATTCATTCGTCCTGTGTTTCGTGTTCTACTACACTTCCTGCCCTTGTTTGTTCCTGCCTGCGTGATTGTCTGCCCCGCCTCCATTGGTTGTGCCTTACCCTCGCAATCCTCACCCTTCTGGTGTATATGTCTGTTACCCTCACTCTGTGCCATTTCGCGTCAGTACCATGAGTGTAGCAGTCCATCATTCTCCTTGTGTCTTGCCTTACCTTGTTTTTTTGGACTTTTACCATGTCTTTTGCCTGCCTCTGACAGATTACCTGTGTGCCAAACCTGTTTTGGCAAGTAAAGACTGTTACTCCTATCAACTGCCTGTTCTGAGTCATGCATTTTACTCCTCTGTCATCAATATCTGAAGAATGAAGAGCAAGGATTGTTTGCCTGAGTCGGAACCCTCATCTCACAAATCTACGCTACCAAGTATTTCACTAAGGCCCCATCCACACTACTGCACTGCAAAAATGGAGGACTTTAGAAACGATGATGCAGACGCTCACCTTTGGCTGTCTAATTGGGTCTTATAAGTCATGCAAAGCAGAAACACAATGCTACTGACAGAGTTTTTGATTTGGTATTTTTATCAAAATATTTTGTACTGTGCAAATAACAGTCTACACTTGTACTGTGTATGTCGCCGTATTTACTTTGCGAGGACTCCTAGTCTGTTTTCCGCAGCCATAGTGTCTTTTAACTCCTGTGTTACATTCACTAACAGTCCCAGCTCATTTTTGGTTCTTGCAAAATAAAATCTGGTGTGGTTCTTTGTCTGTATTTCTTTATTCTTTCACCAAATCATCTGTAACTACGAAATAGACCATCTGCTTCAAGTCTGTAGTTTATGTGTTCAGTCAGTCAGTCTGTTCAGTCTGATTAGCCACCTTGGAACCCATTGACTGTCGTCTCACGATGAGTTTCATACAGATATTTTTAAAAATGGATAAGAGATTGATAAAAAGCTAAATCACTGTCATAGAATAGCTGATGGGCTCAGAGATTGTATTTCGGCCAATGCGTTCCACCTCTTTCACTCTCCACATTGACTGTTTACTTGTATGCAACCATAGCCCGCTCCAATGTGATTGGTCAATAGAACAGAACGATTCCATCCTGCATTCATATGCAGATATCTTTTGACCATTTTTTTTTAATCTGCCTCCCCATGAAAGTACAATGCTAAATAGTTGGAGTGCCCCTTTAAGGACAGATGCATGGCACCTCCCTCTGCAGCTCCTCAGAAAAGAGAAATCAATTCAATGGAAGTGGAAATTGTAAAGTGTGTGCCAAAGCAATTGGCTCCAGAAAAGAGGCCAAAGCAACAAGATGAAAAGCTTTATATATATGTAAAGACGGGGAAAAAATGACTTTAATCTTTACACATAACCCAAATACAGACTAGTGCCCAGATTCCCTGTTTTTCAGGATTAAGCCAGACAAACACCAAAACACAGAGCCAAAAGCCTGTCAGGCATGGTGGAAATAGAAAACAGCATCTCTCTCTTTCTCTGGCCCTCTTTCCCCTTCCACCCCAGTTTACAGGTAAACAAGGTGGCAGTCATAACAATCTACTGGCTCCATCAGGGGTTTTTTGCTGTCGTTTCACTGTAGGTCCCCAATGTTCAATTTAAAAGTGAGGCACAACTAACACCCCGAGGCACTTTGTATTATTCCAGGAACACTGGCGTTGCTGGCAGATTGTAGAGCGTGTTTTGGGGAGCGCACTCCTCCCTTTCAGTTTGACACAAAATGAATGCGTGTGGTGTCTGACTCAGACTGGTGCTGCTGAAGCTAATGTGATGCTGCTGTTCAGGCAAGGAAATGAGCTGTGAATTAGGTAAGTGTGTTTTTCAGCTGTGGCTATGCCATTATTCATCTGGCATCTTTTTGTCATTCAGTCTCTCTTTTCCAGTCAGTTTATGTTCTTCTTAAGATGGAAACATGTACACGGAGCCTTACTTCATGCCTTAACTGTATCTGAGGTGCAGTTAAAGAGTTAAACATTTGCTGCTGTGTCTTTTTTTCACACTCCCACAAGTCCCATCTTTTGGATTGAGGAATGAGGCAGCGGTCGGCTGTCATCTTTCAGTATCTGCTCCATTGAGCTGATGGTGTGCTATTAGAAGTCATAAATAGGCTCTAAGCAGGTCAACACTACCATCTAGTGGATAGAAATCTACTAATCTACATCAAATGTTCGATTGTGCAGTTTAAGTTCAGTTGCTTAAGCACGTTCACAATACAATTCTCGACACATTCAGTGCAGTCGCTATACTGTCCACCAAGACACACTTCATTTATCCTGCAAAGGGCTGTCACTTACTCAATGTTAACTAATGTATCAAAAGTAAACACCTTGATCAATGAGAGCTTCGCAGCCACCAAAATGACATACACCTTTATCATGGCAGTCAAATGTGTAAGGAAGTGTGTCAGGATAACTGTTTTCATGTCATGTCTCACTCACAGACAGCGACCCATATCCTCTCCAGCTGTGAACTGAGTCAGCCCATGCAAACACCAATCCTAACAGCTTTTTTGTACGTTTCTCTATCAAGTCCACCTAGCTGGTGTGTCCCCTATCCACAGTACCTTATGTGGCCTAAAAATAACGTAAAACAGAAAATACAAAAATGAAAGTAAGATTAAAAGCAAAAAATGACAAAAGTAAATCCCCTCCTCAGTAGGTATTTACACAGCCTTTTTGTATTTGATATTTGCCCTTAAAAATGCAAACATATTCTGGCAGGGTGCACCCTTATGCTGCGTTCCAGGCAACTGGGAACTCAGAAATTTCTGACCTCCAACTACAAAAGCTACACCCTTGGCACTGTAGCTTACACTGCACTGTCCTTGGTGTTCATTAAAAGTATGTCCATTTTAATGAAAACAAGTGGTAATCCTCAAAAGACAGAAAATGCTCTAGATTATACTTCCTAATGTTTTCAAATGTTTTTAGTATTTTTTTAAAATTTAGTGAATAACATTTGTGCAGAGAAGATTCTTTAGGACTAGTGTAACCAGCTACTTAGCAACATATTTCTACATCGAAACGGAACGCTTTGAGGCTGAAAGTCGGATATTTCAACTTGGACATGTCCCAGTTCTGAGCAGTCTGGAATGAGGCTTTTGTCCTCTGTGTCCACTTCTTCCTCTGACCAAACACATTACAAATAGTACACGCTTTCACATCTTCCCCTCTGGCCATACCGTTTTTTCGCTCTTTCATATCTGCCGGTTGCGTGTGAACTTTATGTTAAACAGTAAGGCAAATTCCTTTGTTTTAGTTGTTCACTGAAGACATTTGGGTTTAAGATCAAAAGAAGAGGTATAAGACAAGAGTTCAGAATTTCAGCTTTTATTTCCTGGTTTTCACATCTAGAGGTTTTGTGTACTAAAATTTGTGGATGAACGTGTTATTAATTGAATTAATAATTGAAAGAGGCTTTAATCAATATTATCGACACTGGATCAAGATGACTTTGTTGTCACTGCTTCCACAAACATAATTTTCGGTGATTAACATAGCGCTGAAGAATTTGTGGAGACCTCAACGAAGCATAAAGGGGACATTCACCATCTGCCAATAATGGAATTATCTTGCTTGCACCTGCTGGATCTGTAAATAGGCAAATCCAAATAAGGACCTGCCTACTTACACATACAGCAGGCTCAAAGCAACTTACAATTGCTATGTATGTCAGAGGTCACACCGCTGGACCAAGTACAGGTTAAGTGTCTTGCTCAAGGATACATTGGTGGAAAACAACAAGAAATGCATAAAATGTGAGAAACTGAACTATTAATTTGAGAATGTCACTGTTTGAAAGATATCAGCTGAAGATTGCAAGTAAACAAACAGTACATCAACCACTTCATACAGACTTTTTTTTGTTCCAAGTAAGGTTTCCTGACACAAATATACCTGGACTCCTTCATTTTATTGGCTTTTTATTTTTACAAAAACAGGTACGACAGAATGCATAGACCGAGCCACACTCACAGCTGGCTCATCAATGACAACATGGAAAACAAAAACAAAGGATGTAAGGGAAAGGCAACATTTTATTTAAAACAATAAAAACAACACTGTTTACAGTGCATACATCCTCCTATGGTCTCTTACACACAGGACACTACTGAATGCGCTCATCATTCAAGCAAGCACACACACACAAACACACACGTACAGGCACACAACGCAAACACATGAGTGCTATAGATTCACCATGGGATGCAGGTAACAATGCATCATATGATACAAGTGAAAGAAACGCATATAACCGTACAGTTAAAGGGTCATTTTACCCAAATAGTTGTGTGAATTTGGGTGAACTGACCCTTTCATCAGATAAGCATAATCAACCCACACTATCTGCATAGACTGTCTAGCCATCTCATTTTAAAAGCCATGGGAGTGCAGCCAGCATCATCAACCACAAACGTACAGTCACCCATGGACTCTCTCACTAAATCAATAGTGTGTTGACCGTACTGTGTGTGAACATTAATACATCTGATAAAAAAAATTGCTCAATGAGGCCAGTCTATTGCATCCTTCATGCTTACACACACCAGCAAGCTACCCCACTCAGCGATGAAGTGTTTGGGTAAGTTATCAGTGTGAGTTAAAATACACCGGAGGATAACGGCAACAGCTCACGCTGTTAAAGTGAGGTGTTCTTTTGCGTTAGCAGCGTGGGCCAAGCCATGCCCTTTCAGTTTGCAGGTTGTGGTGAAAATGCACACACTTATCAACAGGCTAGAGTCATGTGATTACAGAAAGAAAGTTACTACTAAGGTAACTAAGATAAATGAGGTGACAACACTGCTTTTGTCTTTTGTACTGTTTCAAACATGACATACAAAATGCTAAAACAAAACAGGTCCAGTATCCAAAGCAGAGAGCAAGAACATTTCCATTCCATGACAAGGACATCCAAAAGCACATTAAATACTGACAACAACAAAAAGGCTATTTTTATTTACTGCTCGAAATGCTGTTATTTTGTTTTCTCAAACAACAACAACAACAACAGAATAAGGTGTGGGAATCAACAAAATAGTTACAGTTTAAGAAATTTAATTAATGTGCGCTTATGAAGAGCATATTCCGGCCGCCTCCTCCACACACTGGTTTAACTGTAAAACAAGTTTCCAGAGTAAACTCAAGAGGATTGTCCTCGCCTGTAAATCTAGCCTGGATTCTCCAACTGAGGGAAAAAAACTGAATGAGATGAGGATTCTACAGAAAGACACTGGAAAGTGATTTAAGAACAACACTGCTGTTGGAGATGAGGTAACAAACTCAACTAACTCTCCTCTAAAGGAAATGCACAAAATGTCTGCATGTTGCCATTACTGGGCAGACAAATGCAACACAATCATGTTATGAAGGTATTTTATTATATTATTATTATCATATCTATCAATATTAGAATGCGTTAATATGTATTTTAAATTCACAACATGGATCTGTGTTATTCCTCCTGTTTATTTACATTCCAGTATTGTGGATTATATCCTGGTTTAGTTTGGGGACTCTTTTTTTTACCCTCCATCTAACCTTAGTGATTACTCGTCACACATGGCTAACACAAACACGTCCAGGCTCAGGGGTCAGTGTCACATGGACTTTACTTGTAATAAGCAAGCAGATATCAATCATGCAGGTATTTAGTGTAAAGAGATGTAAACGCATGGAAATTCCCGCATTATGAGGATATCACGACCAGTTATCTGAAATGCTGAAAACCTTTGGGTGAGTGTGTCTATGTTCGCGATATGTAAAAGGGTCACTAAGGTCACCTGTAATCACGCAAGTGTACGACTCAAAGTTTCGACACCCTTTGTTGCGACAGGTCGGCCAGAGCTCCACTTCCTCCAATGTGCATCCCAGTCGATGTCACATTTTCACACGAGGCACGCCTCCCGTTCACCTCCTATCTCCACCCTTTTTCCTTTACACTACCTCAACAAGCCTCAAGCACCGATTTCTCCTTGTTCTCACTAACTTGAGAATCGCCCGTCAGATACCACAACGCACTACTGTATCGTTGTATTCTGGTCCTGTAGTGGCACTCTGAGGGACGCAGGGACTACTGCACGATACTAATAAAAGATTTTTTAAACTAATCATCAGCATGACAGTGAAGTCTACTGTTGGAGGGGGCATTATAACCACTAGGTAGTGAGAATTGGAATTACTATACGTCTTTCATTATTAGTATTGTTAGAGGCAGAATATACTGTAACTCAGGTTCTGTCTTCAGCACTCTGAAGCTGAGCTTCCGGGAGCAACGCATGGAACCGAAGGGAGAAAAGGATGGAATTAAAATGAGGGTGACCGTTTTTTTGCCACTGCTAAACCCAGATCCCCAAACCAATGTGAGGAACCTTTTGACCCCCACACCTTGTGCCAGACCCTTTAGTTATATAACAAAACTCCCAACTTATTTTTAACAACTACCCGCGTCACTGACACAAAGGCTGCTGTGCTGTCTCTGTCCTCTTCTGGCGAGCAGGTTGTTTTGCTAGCAGGTGTGCAGTTGCTCTCATTCTTTTTTTCTCCGTCTCCGAACAGGGGCAGGGTTACGCGTACTGTCTACGTGGGGCGAAGACTTTAACCGTTCAGGAGGTAGACCACCAGCTCGTAGGTGCACATCATGATGGCGGTGTTGGGGATCTGACGTACCAGGTGGGTGGTGAGGCCGCGGTACAGGGCGCGGTAGCCCTCCTCTTTGGGCACTGTTGTTAGAGTCTGGAAGAAGGACTTGTACTTGGTGCCCTCCTCGCGTAGCCTGGTGCGAATCACCTCTGCAAAGTAAGGAAGACAGGGAAGGGTTAAAGGAGAAGAACCGATAAATCTGCTCATATCAGCTAATTGCTGATCACAGACTCTTACCATGAGGATAAGCTATAGATGTGGCACAGGTCTTGGAGGTGGCAGCAGCAAGCATCATCCCCACAAAGTCTGAAGCATCTTTGGATGCGTCCTCCTCCTCGTCCATGTTCTGCGGTGCCTTGGCTTCCAAGAGCCGCCGTTTGATGTTTTCATAGATCACAAAGTGGATCACAGTCTCTGAGATACCGGCGTAGGATGCAGACATACCCCTGTAGAAGCCTCTCAGCCCGTCTGTCTGATACACCCGCCGCATGCACTCAAACGCACTCATCCTGCACTCACCACGATTCCTGAGAGAAGAAAGGGGGGGAAAAATTACAACGACTCGTGTGAAAAATGACCACGTAGATGGAAACAGCTAAACACAACTACAACGATGCAGGTGAATGTAAAGATGTGAAAACACTCTCTTAGAATACATTACAGCACCCTCAGAACGGCTGGTTTCAAAGTGTGCATGAAAAGCTGTGCTTTTGGAAGAGAAGGTGAATAAGGACACACAACAGGAGCAAGCCTTACACAGGAGATAATCTACAGTCAATTCATTGATTAGATGACCTGAGTTACTTGCAGTCTTCGTGTAAAGAAGAAATATCAGAGTCAGTGTTTTCTATGTTAAGTAATGTTGTCCTTTAGGAATTTATGTACGACAGAGTACAGCAAGACTTAAGGGAAAAACAAGAACCTGTCAACTTTAAAGCCTTCATGTGAAGAATTTTTATGTGACGCTCACATCTAACATAATTCTACATTTTACTGTTTTATTATTAAACTATTATTAGCAAGAAACTCTGTGTTTGCAGAAGATGGAAAACAACCATCTTCTGCAACCATACTCCTACCTGTGCTTGCAGAAGATGGTTGTTTTCCATCTTCTGCAATAAGAGCATATAAGCGTCGAAGTGCAGAGCTGAATTTTGTGAAGCTCACACCTTGGTGTCATGTTTACCTAGCATCCAGCTGTAGACGGGTCTTTATGAGCCATATTGGGTTGGTTGCTGTGATGGCTGTAAAACCTGTGGAGGAAAAAAAACAGCAAGATTAACTGTTGTTTAAAATCTAAAAATACTATTGTCAGCCTAAGTGTTAAGCTGCCAGCGGTACAATAATCTGTCCACAAACTAAAACTCTAAGTAGGATGTAGTAAATGTCCTTCAAGCTGCATTCATGTTGGTGAAGTTAAAACAATGTGTACTCCTAATAAAATGAAAAGTAAAGTCACAAAGGCAGCTTACAGAGAGAAAGCTAGACCCTCTATAGACTATCCTATGTGTGCTAGTAGGGGAGCAAATGAATGCCATGAATGTGGTGCAAAAATCTGGCAAAAACAACAAACAACCTCTTTTAATGCAATGACCTACATGGTGATGGAGTAGAGGACACGGAGAGAGAGAGAGAGAGAGAGAAAGAGAGAGAGAGAAAAAAACCAAATATAAAAAGAAGCACAGCTCTGTGGTGAGTACTCACGCAGACCCAAGTAACTCCTCACAGATGCAGCTAGAGACCCCTGGTGGTGCGGGGGTCTCATGCCCTTGCGAGAGGAGAGCTACGGTAGAGTTAAAGCCTAAAACAGACACAGGCGGCTTGTGTGTAGCAAAATGACCTGCATGCAACCATTTTACTTCCCATTCCCCCATTATCCCACAGGATTTCACCCAGCATACTGCAACCTCATGAGAAAATAAACACCCCCATCCCAACCCCAACACCAAGACAGCAGAAGGGACATGTTGGAAGAGTACAGCTGAGGTCTTGTTAATTAAAAAAAATCCCTTGATATAAAAAAAATCTAGTAACTGCTATGTGGCCTGCTAACAGTGATAATTAAAATCACAAATCACACCACGTTTTGAGGCTTGTTTTGGGCATCTATGCAAATTACAGCCTGACCCATACTGGATTTTTGGAAGTGGATTTCTAGTGTTAGATAATAAATATATATATATTGTTAGCTATGGCAGGAGCCAGCGCTCTGTTGTTGGTGTCATGTATTATTGCACAGACAAGATTAATCTCTGCATTGCCCATACCTCATCACGTCAGTTCACCTCAGTCACATCTCACACTGCAGAATATGTGGATCGCCACTGGAAACGTATGTACAGACAAATTCTGACCTTGACTGGGTTGTTGAAAGGTCTGAGTCAGAGTGTGCTAAAAGCGGCGCCACCGTGAACCTGTCAGATTCACCCATACACCCACACACACACCCACCGTAGCTGTGGCTGCCTGACAGGCCCACATGGCAACGGTTCGGCATTCCGATTTGGATCAGAGTGACACACGAGCAGATAACTCACCATTGAATTACAAAGCGTCAGAGAATAACGATACAGTTTTTAAATCCGTCAATTTAAGATGTTATGCTTGTAACTAAGCCATTTTAAGACAATATATATAATAATATAGTATATTTGGGCAAAAGGTGAAGGTAACAGGATAAACTTGTTTTTGAATCCACAGGGTCCTCATGAAGGGGGTGCGGTACTTAAGTTTGTCAAATGATGTTGTCTTTCAAAAGACAAGACCTTTGAGTCTAACATAACAGAAACTAGTTCTACCACTGCTTGCTCTGTACAGAGATCAGTGTGTTAGCTAGCAGCAGCCCTGCACTACATACATGACGCAAACCTGACTCTGTTATGTGATGCCACTATTCACATAAGCTTACCAGCACTGAACCATACCATGTCCATTTATTCAGCATTTCTGACAAGCACGCTGGAAATGTCAAGGTTGCTGTATGTTAAGAAAGCCCTGAATGGCGGCGAATGTCAACCTGTTGCCTCACATATTTAGTTACCTGCCATTCCAGCCGACACCATGTGTACCTGTGTGGAGTCGGGTTCCAACACACCGTTCAGTTTCTCTTTGGCAGTGGAGTAAGCAGCAAAGTAGATCGCTCTGTTGGAGGTATAAGGCAGAAAAGGTCAGTACAGGGCAAAACAAGTTATATATGCCACGCTTATGTGTTTTAGTGTAAAGATAATTAGTCCCAACCAACTCTGTGCCTCCAGTAGCGATGTAGCTTATTAATTACACTCCATTAACGAGCAAAACTGTCCCCATGTCAGGTTCAGCTTAATGAGCTTTAAAAATTCATTACGTGTAAAGCCGAGAGCAGAGTCACATCAGCCTGGTTAGGCAAAGAGGCTATTCAGTATAAAAAAAACATCTTTATGTTTCACTAATTAAAAATGTCATAATGATCATGTGCATACTCATGTTTAAATACAAGTGTTTTTCACTTTAACAGCACATTGTGCACTCTGGTTAACTTGTACAATCATTGGCCAAGTGTGCTTAGTCGGAATGTTAATGATGCTCGCAGCTTGTTAGTCAAATTAAAAGACGGTGTTTGTGTGTGCGTTCGTCTTTAAATCTTTGTCACAGCTCTGGAGGCCTTGTTGTCTTCACATCCAATGCCCACTGCATCAGCATTCAATCATGTAAGATGCTAACAAAACACTCTAAATATGCTTAGCGCCGGCACCTGCCTGCTGCAGTATTAGCCGCTGCCTACTGCCATTAGCCACCACTTTGCTCCCATCATTACCACTGACGAGTAAATGATGATTGTGACTGTTATTTGTTTTTACCTAACTGCTTTCAGTTATACCAAATACTGCTTGCTGCTGTTGCCATGTTTTCATGCAGAGATGGCTGAGAAAGCCATTAGGATGAATGACTAAAAGGACCATGTAACCCTGATGCTTCTCTGTCACCAAGTAACCTCAAGGGGCCCTGTGGTGGTTACACAACAACACTGTTTCTCACAGACATGGCTCGCTGAAAAACAGCCCATGTGTCCATAACTCACCTACAAATAGTACTGAGCCAATGTGTGCTCATCAAAAGTGACTGAATCAGCTACCACTGAGTGATAACAGCTAATATTAATGCAATGTGCAAAACTGATTAGACAGGACCGCCTAGACTGTTTTTTAGACTAATGTTTCATCCCTGCTGCTGAGCCAAATCTGTGTATACATACACTAATTTTATCATTTAAAGACCAATGATTGTCCGGTACGTTGTGTGGTGCAATGGCATGACAATAGTTTATACTTTTCACAAGATATTCATTTGTTTCCTTCCCTTTATCACAGTTCTGCCAAAAGACCTTTTCCGCAACACACATCTTGACTTGTCACAGAAAAAGCACGGGTGTAATTGATAATTAATGAGGGCTGAGTTCCTTAGGTGTCCAGCCCTAAGCCTCGTCAGCCAGACAGCATGCACAACACCAGGACCCTGGATGTGCATTCCTTATGTCTGCTTTCCTGGTAAACTTTACATGCCAAATGTCAAGGTGCAGAGATTTAACAGTGAACATGCATGCTGGTAATTGTGGGCATGTTGACACAATGTTAGCATTTAACTCGAGGCAGAGCTGTCACGCAAATTCAGCCAAGCTGAAGCCAAGACTGACCATGTAAAGCTGATCCTGACAGACTGAGTGTTAATGTAACAACATGAGCTTTCTGTGCGTTTTATCTGTCTAACAATTTCGTTTTCAGGTGTGTAATGAGTGCAAACTAACGAGGCTGCTACATTGGCTGTAGACGCTGAGCTTTTTCTGAACATTACTGGAAAATAATGACATCTTTAACATCACAATAATATTCAGAAATATATGCAATTTGGTCTACAAAATCTGTCTCCCTGCGCGCACTCTGCACGTGCACTCAATGCGCATGGAAATGAGTTCTGGGGGGTGTTGCTTAGGAGAGAGGCCAAGGGGTGGGACTTTTTCAGTTGGATATTTTCAAAAATCTAAACCTACCTTAGCTTAAAAACACCAAATCCTCACATTTCAGCTGCTAGAACTACAGAATTTTTGCATTTTGCTTGAAAAATGATCATGTTCTGTTCTTAACACTAGAAGGAAACCTTCTGCATAACTGTATTCACCTGCAGAGGGATAATGACACTGACGACACAATTTGGGAGATTCACAATTCAATCTTCACTTGAAACAGCATTAACAGCTTCATAGTCCTTAAAGTCATTCTCAAAGGAGATAAACATTGCTATCAATTTTAAGGAAGATGACAAGAGTAGGTGACAGAAGACAGATTACCTGGAAGGTGCCACGCCCACCAAGTTTGGCCCCAAGCCCCTGAAGAGAGAGCGAGGTCCTTCTTTCTCCAATATCAATCTGAATACGAAACACACAAACACACATCAGGACCACATGCATGCTTTAGGGTTTTACTTATTACTGGTGGCTAGACATTTTTTCTACCAGTGTTGTCCAGTTTCTTTGGCCCAACTTTTGTTAAGTTTGGTATGGATATTTAAAGGCTCCTGGTGGAGTATTAAGTAGAAGCTGACATTTTTTCGGGATTCTTGTGGGATGTGGTATTTCACTATGCATCACGGGAGTGGGACGGTACAGAAAAACAAATTCAGCGGGAGTGGGCAGGACAGGAATCACTGGTCAGTTTTTAAATACAAATATGCAGTTCTAATATGAATAAATGCTTTTCTATGCTATTTTTTGTTTTGTTTTTAAATCGGGAAGGGGATGGGAATCATTCTTCCAGGATTCGGACAGGACAGGGGTGAAAATCCACTCCTGCGTCACCCTCTGCTATTAATACTATAAAGCAATATGTGGGTGATCAGGACGCATATGCCACATATGCATGCATACACGCAACGTACATTCCTGTTACTGGTTTGACACTGTTGGACAGATCAACAGGTGGGAATAACACACCTCTGTACCAAGATATGTCTGCTGCCACTATTTCTTGCAAGGTATTTAATCAGGTGATTTCCACTAAATGAAAAGACTTGAAATTGCCGGTGGGCCTTCGGTTGCAGCACTGTGTTCAAAATGAATTAAATTAGGATTATACCACCAGCCAACAAAACAAAGCCTCTACTGCTACAGTGACTGACACTTCATTTAAACGTGACTTAGTTCGGTGAATTTGAGAAGTGGCATGGTACCATTAAACACATTTTTCCAGAGGCTCTGAGCAGCCAGGACATGACCTCTTTAGAAGAGACCTGGCCATTCTCTTCCTTATGGAGCAGATCTAATTTCCTTCATCTCAACTGGCAATCTACCCATATCAAAGAGGTAACAGAATAAGTGAACATGAAATAGCAAAAGGCCTCTGTCATAACAGACAGAGTTTTCTTAAGAAGTCAAAAATGTATTAAACTCTCACAAGATACAAAAGCAATAACAGTTGGATTTGTATTCAAATTCCCTGCTTGGCTGTGTATAGTTTTCCCAAAGGGTAAGGAGTTGGGTTACAGAGATTGGTTGGCCTTGCCAGTGGGACATCAGCCAGACCAAACAACAACAGCAACAACATGGTGCCTGCTGAGGAAGGAACCATGGCTCTGCAAGCAAACCTTTCGGGGAGAGCAGAAGGGGGAGGAGCTGTTAGCTCCAAAAAAACCCCCAGTTACAATCATTTTGGTTAAAACTCAGTATCAAAAATCTGTTTTTACCAGAGGTTTAAGTTTAGGCAATACTGTGTATAATGTATACAAAATATATCATGGACAGTACTAAGTTATAAAACAACCCTGGGGTATTTGTAAGGTCTGTACTTTTAGCCACGGGTCAGATTTGAATGGGTCAAGGACCAATTAAAGTCCTGGTACATGTTGCGTGTGCTAAAAGTATTAAGTATCAGACTGATAATGAGTATCAATAAGAGCAGTAGTATTAATAATACCCATCCTTTGATGTCAGACATGGAAGTCAGACAATGTTGTTAAGTACCCACTTGAGGAAGTGCAGGGCGCCTGGCGGGGACACTCGGGCCACACTGGCCCCGTTGACAGTACTGAGCTGAACCTCAGACACATAGAGGGTGATGGAGGACGACTGCAGACGGGTCTTCACAACTTCCAGTGGACAAGTCAATATGGCTCCTACCGTGCCCCCACATCTGGCAGAAAAACAGAGATGGAAAAGGTGGAAGTGATATAGCAAACAATATCCAGTCTCAGCTGACAGAAATGACTCCTCCTTCGATGTGGCTATACGTGTGCAAAGTGTTCATTTTCTTGCATAAATAAATTAGCCAATGATGCGGTCGTGGAAATTCTAACAATTCCTGGCATGCAAGAAAAGCACACTGTGAGACGAGAGAGACAGTCAGGAATGCTTTGTGTTTCAGCAAGCTTCTGTTCAGTGCCACACCACATATCTATGTATGTTTATTAAAATAAGAATGCAACTGCAAACACATTGGTTTGTTTTTTAGCAAGCTAGTGAGCCAACAACAAACAATAGAAACATTTAGTAGATTGAAAAATAAATGTTTTTAGATTCTACACTTTGACAACTGTGAATTATAAAACAAATCATTGAAAGTTTTCACATCTACAAATTCTAACTATGAGTCAAGACCGAAGACAAACATAATTTGACGCCACGTAGAAATGTGCTGCATCCTAGACATCAGTTTATGACCAGCTCAGGGACTTCAGGAAAGTCACCTGCTCATGTAACAAATGTAAGAGAGACTGATAAGAGAGAACACAAAAACAATATGCACTAAACAAACTTAGTAATCCTACCTAAACAAACTGAAAATTACCAAATTGTATTTGGCAGGACATGGCCAGAGTATAGGACATCAAAAGCATGAGCAGTTCAAAGTGAGTGCGACAACAGTTATCTTTAGAAAAGGGTTCATTTTCAATCAGAACCAAAGCAGAACTAGAAAAGTCCTGTTGACATAGTTTTGGTAGGCCCATCAGTTTCTGTGTCACTGCCAACCATGAAAAAAGTCAAACATTGGCCAAGAAGAGCATGCATGAATGAGGAGTCACATTTGATCTCACTTAGGCTCTGACTTTGAAGCTACAGCTTGAAATGCAAAACATTTAATATCCTTACAGGGCTTGTGCACTTAACATGGTTGGGATCATAAAAATAGAGGCTTAATTTTGCTAGAATTCTTACATCCAAATACATGCAATAGGTCTGATAAAACAGAAGCTGGTTTCACCTGTCTTTTTAAGGCTGTACGTACATTTAACTAAAATTGTGGAATCACAACTCAGCTTTATACTGCGATTAATAAATGAGCGAATTTCATCCATTTATCGACCAGCTTAGCTGCTTTGACAGACTAACTGTTAAAATGACAGAAAAGACTAGACAGCACTCCACTGTGGTAACGTTACAGTTTAGATGTTGCATCAGTCAAATCCGAGCATACATGTTTGTCTATACCATTAATTTTGGAGAGATCTTTAGTGGCAGCTTGCCCGCGTTTGTTTTGATGCACTAAGTTAACGTTTTGGCAAATGCACAGATTAATGTTAATTTACGCCGACAGTAGCCTCACGTTTAACACTGGCGGCTTCGTAAATCAAAGATTTATCACAGATATAGTTTGTATATGGTATAATTGCTATATACAGAACACGCTTCCACAAGCTAGCCATTTAATTCATACCTTGGAATGTCATTGTGACTTGTGACATTGACTGCAACGGGTAAACATGCACACCATAGCTGCCACCGGACACGCTGATGCTAACATGGATCTCCACGCTAACATTATTCCACTAACCAAAACCCAATATCATGCACATACCGATACAAACACCCCATTATGTGTTGCTGGCTAGCAACTACAGTTAGCCCCGAGCGTGGAGCTAGCTAGCTAGCTCGGCTCTTACATGTAACGTTACGTGACAGTCGGAAGATACTCACCCTCCAGCAAAAAGATGAACTAAGGTATCTCTTTGACTCATTATGTATCATATTCGGGAAACGTCCACGGGGCACCACACGGGGACGACGGGAGCGGGCGTGAAGAAACAGGGGGAAACGACCCCAACCTAGCAAGCAAATGATATTCAGTACGCCAGTGTTGTGGTGGAGGTCAGTTGCGTGGAAAAAAACCAGGGTAACGTCGTGTAACGTTAACAGCTAACTTAGCTAGCTGACGTTAGCAGCCAAAGCTAGCGGGTTTCCGGTGGTAAAGGTCGATATCAGAGCGACAGGTTTGCGTCTCCTTCTTTTGAGGCGGGATAAAGCTTCACCATAGTGTGCGTGTCTTTAATGTTGGTGAGTAGTTCCAGTCTTGCAGTAATAACAGCTACTATAGACGAGACTCGGCCTCATTCAGGTTGACGTGCCTTGCCTCACTGAAAGCCCTGCTGGTCAGGTCGCAATGTTTATCGTGGAAGGGGAAGCCGCAAAACAGAGGCGGCGATTGGCTGAGGTGTCCCGTGACCCCGACCCATCACTACTCTTTCACGTGATACTGCTTCTACTTTGAAGAGCAGAGATCATCGGTCAGGATGCGGAGGGGCCACAGGGCCGGTTTAGCTCACTTAACCGGTGTAAGTATGAAATGACGACTAACCTTAGGTAGGTTACAGTATTTAGTCCGAATTAATCACACAGTACAGTGGGTGTAGCTCATAGGCTGGTGTAGCTACAAACCGCATAGTTGTAAAAGCCACTCAATAACCTGGTTAAACACCGTCCTGATCACGTACACACCGTACACACGTGCATTGCGTGCCTTTGGCTCAAGCACACTCTTTTAAAAATGTATTTTATGTTATCATAATTACATGATTAAAATAAATGACAATTACCACGTTATTTTGTTTAAATTAAATACAGCATAATGTGTTAATTTACACAGTTATAAAAACAGTACGTTATATTTATATAATGTATATATGTATAACTTAAGTTATAACGTGTACGTGTATAATGAATTTATAGTTGAGGGCCCTCTCACAGAATATTTTAGAGGAATTCCTGCATATTAAATGTTGGTCTGCAATTTTTTTGTAGTGGTCCCAGTAATATTTGTTCTTAGTGAGGCTTGTCACATGGCATGGTTAAGCTCTGTTTGAGACTGAGGACATGATGAAAAAAGAATTGTATTTTTATCGATACACTTTTAAAAGCCAGCCTATAATTTTTTGTTACCTATTTTATATTTTTTACTTCCTAATTTATGTTATGTTAACACAGGGAAAAGTGGGTGTGTTTTCTTTATTGATTACTTTTGCTGTGTGGCAAAGACCACGCGGAAACAATGTCACTGTGCTGATTACATCACAGGGTCGTCACATCAGCCTGATGCCACAATTGCAGCTACAGATGATAGAAATCCATAAAGTGCAACGCTTGTTAGAAAACAGTGTTTACCATGAAGACACCTGAGAGTTGGAGGCAGGACTAAGCAGGGAAAACACTGCATACAGGGGCCTCATACTTGCAGAACTTGACTGTTTGTATGTTTTGTAGCATGACTAAACATTCATGTGATAACCAACTACACAGGAAAGCCCAGCCAGGTAGCAGTCTGAATGCTAGTGTGTTCCTTTGTACAAAAACACCAAACAGGGACTTGAACCCTTGACCCGCTGATTAAAAGTGTGATGCCCTCTCTGGGCTCCAAAGCACATAATTTTTGACAGTCTTTACTTACAGCAACTAAACTTGAACTTTTATTTCGTATTGATTTTAGCGGCCCCCGTGGACGAGTGTTTCCACTGGTAAAGCTCTTGATCTGGCTAGCGCATACATTTGTTTTGGAAGCAAGTGAAAGAAAGACATAGTTTACTATATTTCTTTTTTTAAGCACAGCTATTTGCAGGATGCATAGTGATTACTTAATATATCTATTTGTGGCTATGTAGGATTAATAACTTTAATATAACAATGTTAAATCAAAGCCTACAACTAACAGACTCAGTAGTGCTTGCTCTGTAATAGTCATTTTGTTAAAGAGGTGGTATTATGCTTTTTGGCTTTTTCCCTCTCCTTTATTGAGTTATATATCTTTTTTGTGCATGAAAGCTCTGCTCTGAACTGCCTGAAAACAGCTTGTTTGTTGTCCAGCCCTTCACTTCCTTTACTTGTGACATCACAATGAAAACGCGTCATAAAGCTTGCCAAGCGGCTAGCGGGGTCAGGCACGCCCTCTTTTTTGAAAATGAAACCATGTAAACCTGTTCAGGTACAACCCCTAATTAAGATTTTGAACCTGAAAATGAGCATAATACCACCTCTATAAGTAGGATCTGGTGACTATGGAAAACAAAACTGGGTATGGGGTTTGGGAACATTGGAGCCTATCTTAAGAACAAGTTTACAGGTCTTTATCTACACTGTAAATTAAGATAAATTCCAAAGGTAATTGATATATCCTCTTACAGATGTTTAAAATGCCACTTTATGCCTCAAAATGCTTAATGCAAGTGTTGTTTTTTTACCTTCAATGGGCTACCACAGACTCACAATAGCTGCAGGCTATGACGTACATGTTTACGTTAAAGCATCTACAAATAGTTTTTAACTGGTTAAATAATCGTACAGTGGGTGAAGGGTCATCTCCTGCATGTACCACTCAATTCTGGCAGAGGATTCCTTAAGGAAGCTAAATATAACTTACCAATCAGGATTCCTGTTAAGTTGATTTGCTTTGTCACTGTGCCTTAAAGGTGCAAGGTTATTTATTTGTCATTATACGGCATAAGGTCCTGATGAAGCTTGCTACAGTTATGCTACATTCACATATGCAATGAGACCATGGATAGGGCCCTATGAAATCTGTTTGTTTTACATTTTCCCACCCAAATTCTGTGTTTTCCTTTAGAATTTTTCTGAATTCTGTGTTTAACAATTTTAGCACATTTTGTCATCCGAAAGAGTGTGTAATCATGTGGTGGATGACACGAAAATATTGCAAATTTCATTAACATCAATGAATTTGATGCACCATGCAAATATGCATAAAAATAATGTATGTGCAATTATTTATGGAGACAATTCACAAAACTTGTAGGCCTATTGCAACAGCAGCATATTAAAAAATACTATAAAACTATTTAATATGGGGCAATTCACAATAAATGCATTGTTCACATGTATTGTGAATTGTCCCCTATCAAATAGGTTAGTACTTGATAGCCTCCAAATGCTGCTGAACACAAGGTATAAGTGGGTCTTCTGTCACGTAGGCAAAGCTACTCTTTGTTTACAAAGCTTTAGCTGGCCTCTTGCATCCGCTGGTTACACTTCTTTCTTGTTTAGAAACTGACAAAACCGACACAGAGTTGGCTTTCATTCTATTGGACAGGTAATGTAACATCACTGCATCTGAAATATATTGTGATTTGGTGCTTTAGTTGGCTAAAGTCTCAGTCACTAACTCACGTGACCCACATACTATACAATAATGCAACAGATAATTAAATGTGTATTAAAATATGGTAACATTTAAAATGAATAAAATAAAATAAAATCAATAGGCTAAGTACAGTTATTTTTATATTATTATATTTTATATAAAGGCAATATACACTATATTGCCAAAAGTGTTTGGTCGCCTGCCTTTACATGCACATGATTGTTAATGATCCCATTCTTGCTATAACAGCTTCAACTCTTCTGGGAAGGCTGTCCACAAGATTTAGGAGTGTGTTCATGGGAATTTTTGACCATTCTTCTAGAAGCGCATTTGTGAGGTCAGGCACAGATGTTGGACAAGAAGGCCTGGCTCTCACTCTCCCCTCCACACCAAACTCTCTCACGGTACCAAGCTTGAAATGTTTCGCAAATGTTTGTAGAAGCAGTCTGCATGCCTAGGTGCCGAGCCACACAGCACTATTCCAGCCATACTCCCCCTTTATTACCAAGTTGGGCTAGAGCTGGTTGTCCACTAATCAGAAGGTCGGTGGTTCGATCCTCATCTCCTCCAGTCTGCATAGCAAAGTGTTCTTTGGCAAGATATTGAACCCCAAATTGCTCTCGATGGCTGTGACGTGAATGTATGTGGTTCTCTTTCTGGTGAGCAGTAGGCACCTTGCATGGTAGCCTCTGCCATCAGTGTATGGATGTGTTACTGTTTTATTTATTTATTTTATTTTAATATTTTAATATATTTGAATTTTTCTAACACAAACACACATACGCTTTAATTACTTGTTTAATGAAATGTATGGGGTTGATTGTTCTTATGTAGTTTGTATGATGCTTTGGCGATATTGTTGTTACACATTCATGCCAATAAAGCTAATTTGAATGGGGTGAATGTAAAGTGGTTGGAAGACTCGAAAGCTATACAAGGACAGTCCATTTACCTGTCTATGTGTGCCACATGGCTCATTTGCAGTACTGTTAAATCTCCGTAAGTTAGTAATTTAGGTGGTACAAATATCCACGCACTAACCTCTCCCATGGATCTATGTTATGTAACACAGCTGGACTTGGAAGGAATCACAAAGTTTTTAAAAGAAAGGGCCGATTGTTGCAGCCTGTAAATAGCCCCTAAGCTTATGTATGACACACATGATATGATGAATTTAGACACTGGGAAAAATTTTTGCTACCCACAGACTGATTTGACCATAATCCATTTTAGGAAATGTGACCTAAATATTTCTTACAGAAGTTCTTTGTGCATTTACTATGGGGATCTGTGTGTGTGTGTGTGTGTGTGTGTGTGTGTGTGTGTGTGTGTGTGTGTCTGTGTAAGAGAAGAAGGAGAGAGGTGAACTGAGACTTGAAACTCAAGTGTACACAGAAAATGAGGTTTTCCAATTTGGGCAGCGGAATAAAATCCATGCGCCACTTCATTTCATAATTACAGATGCACTTTAACCAAGCCAGATCATGTGCCCCAGTTTCTCATGTAATCACATTACTGCCTCAACGTATGAAAGGCAAAAAAGGCACACGTGTGTTTACTAGGGTCAACGACCCAGGCTTGTTCACTTAAGTACCCCCCCAAAAGCATACCACATTTCATTGCAATCTAACCAATAGTATGTAGTAAGTAAGTAGTAACAGAAGCACAAATGTCAACCTCATTGTGGATGGAAACGTCAGGGCATCTCCGAAGTCAACAGGCTTCATCCTGTGAAAAACATGAATGTCTGTACAACATTTCATGGCAATCCATCCAATTTTTGTTCAACCTGTTGCCACGATCATTAAATTGGATGCATCCATGGCAATCCAGGTAATGGTTCTTGAGATATAGTAGTCTGGACCCAAGTGGTGACCGACGGACCAACCAACAGACATTGCCATCCATGGAGCTACACAGCTAGGGTTGCTAAAGATCCTTTTGGTCCTAAGTGATAATCAGGCTGGCCTGGTGCTCCCCGGATAGCGTGCAAACTAATGATGAGCCTGTTTAGCCAA